CATAATCTAAAATACAAATCAATACTAGACTTAAGAATCTTCACACGAATCGCTTATCATATGATTTTAATTCACAATAACTATAGACTTGTTTATTGGAGTCTAATCTCCACTGACTATCGGATGCGTGAAATATAATAGAAACAGGAATTGTCTGACACTTAAAACCTGGAGTCAAAAACCCTTTCATTTAAATAAATGCAATAAATAAACGCAAAACTTATTGTTTGAATAAATTAGAAAAGCTTTACTTTTGTTTTGGTTATTGTATAAACAACTACTCAATCATTTCTATGTCATCGCAAACAACGCTAACAAATAAATCGATAAAAACACAAATACATGTAAATAATTAAAATAAAATGCAAATCTATATAATTAACGGAAACATATTTTTCACTAAAGAATTAAACAGAAAATCAATTCAAACAAAACACGAGAAAACAACAAATCGAGAAAAAGTATTGATTAGGAAATTCCGGGATGTCGTCGACGAAAACAGACGTTCCCTTTCAAACACACCAACACTTCTATATTAAACAGAAAATCAATTCAAACAAAACACGAGAAAACAACAAATCGAGAAAAAGTATTGATTAGGAAATTCCGGGATGTCGTCGACGAAAACAGACGTTCCCTTTCAAACACACCAACACTTCTATAAAAAGCAATATTCTGAACCCATTTATAGCGAAAAACAAATGTCAAGAATATATATAATAATAGAGAAAATGATTTGCAAAGCGTTTAGCGCATAACGAGAGTGCAAACAAATAGACATCAAACAAATGTCACTGTATACACAAATGGGAGTGCGGTGTCAGTGATTCAAACAAATTGGTGGCAAACCTTGAGCTAGAATTACAAATTCTGGCAAATAGTCGAGCGCTAAGTTCGCCAAATATGAGTCGTTCCGCTGTAGACACTGGCAATACGTGGGCACAAATCGGTCGGCTAGACTCGGGTTGTGGTTCAGGAGCTTAATGGTCAGTTTAAACGCCATTTCCCGCGTGAAGGCATTGAAGTATAATTGTCTTAAATCATCCTAAGAATAGCCACATAATAGCAAAGTTTATACACTTATTCTGGCAAATAATATACGACATAAACAAAACAAATAGTAATCTAAAACAATACTCACCGCAAAGTACTCCAACACATCGGGCTTAGAGTCGGACAGTTTGTCGATTTCATTGAGTATGCCATCCATGCGCTCGTCATGTCTGCGGCCCTCACGAAGTCTTAGCAAAAGGTTTTCCGAGTAGTGTTTCTCGTGATGTGACTGCGATTGGAAGGGTAGGCCAGACAGCAGCGATTTGAACAGCTGTTGCTCCGGGTATACCGACGAGAGATCACTGAATTCGGAAATAACAACAATTTTATTATCATAACGACCATAAGAATTGAATATAAACTGGCAAAACAAGTGCTAAACCACTCACACAATAGTCTTTCTGTTGGCTTTAATCCACGCTTTGGCTGATTCGCAGTCAAATTTGATCCAATCATCGATTAGGTACAGAAACTGCGATAACACGGGCAACAGTTCTCTACCGGCGCACCGATAATAATCGGTAAACAGCTGTATATACGACAGCAACAACTCATTCAAGCCCTTCACGTCTTTGTTCCAGAGGTGAGGCTTCAAAAGTCTCATAATATTCAGTATTTTCTTAAATGTCGACAAATAGTTGCGACTTTTGAACACATCGTACGCCACGGAACTGACTTTGCCCTTCAGGAGCGCCGGTATCATTGGTAGCTGCCTTAGGAACAGCACCGGGTGTTTGGAGGCCAACTTAAGCATCGACAGCTCGCAGTCGTTCAGATACCCGCTCTGGCGTCGAGTGGGCGTCGACTCAAAACTGGTGAACGCCGTCAACAGGT